AGAGAGAGAGAAGAACCACATGCAAGAACAGAGAGTAGTTTCTAGGAGCTGTGAGTGACTCCCCCACTGACAGCCAGCAAGGAAGCAGGGACCTCAGTCGACAATAGCAAAACACTGAATTCTGCCAACAACAGGAATAAATGCAGAAGTAGATTCTTCCCCAGAGCTTCAGAGTAGATCCCAGACTGGATAATGCCTTGATTTCAACCTTGTGAGACAAAGAAAGAAAACAGTCATGTCTGCCTAGGCTTCTCACCTATTCTCACCTATGATATCTATGAAATTAAAAAGTGGGTGTTTTTGTTTTATTTTGCAGTACTGGGGATTGAACCCAAGGGTGCTTTACCATTGATCTATATCTCCAGCCCTTTTATTTTCTGTTTTGATACATAGTGTCTCTAAATTTCCCAGGCTGACCTCAAATTTGCAATCCTCCTGCCTCAGTCTCCCCACTCACTGGGATTACAGGTGTGTGCCACTGCACCTAGAATGGGTATTATTTTAAGCTACTAAATTTGTGGTAAATTGTAACAGCAACAATAGAAATACATGTCTTAAATTACATCTATGCACAATGGCCTTCATATCCATCCCTTTCTTCCCATTTCTTTGCTTACACCTTGGCTCAGACCCCCTACCTCACACCCACTTGAAATATTAGCCACTAAGCCTGTCTTCCCAAACCCATCCATTCTGCTCACTGCCACCATGTTAATTTTCCAAAGATCATATCTGATCACAGACTTCCACTCAAAAAGTTTCTGTGGAAGTGTAGCTTGATGGTCATACCCTGGAACCAGAATGCAGAGTGTAAAGACCAGCTTCACCTCTTAGTAGCAGGTGACCCAGAACAAGCTGCTTAACTCACCCACTAATTGGAAGTAACAGTACTAATCTCAATAAGATAGTTGCAAGGATTGAATGAGGTATGTGTTAAAAAAAAAATTAGTTCTGCATGTCCCAGCACAGGTAAGCATTTCACTCTATGAATGGTGGTTTTTGGTATATCACCCACTATCAATGGCTCCAGGTGGCTGACTTCAGTTTTCAGCCTGGCCTTATGGACTCTCTCATAGTCTTACCTCACAGTCCCCCATACATATTTTGGGGGGGTACCGGGGATTGAACTCAGGGGCACTCGACCACTATGCCAGATCCCCAGCCCTATTTTGTATTGTTTTAGAGAGAGGGTCTCACTGAGTTGCTTAGTGCCTTGCTTTTGCTGAGGCTGGCTTTGAATTTGCAATCCTCCTGCCTGAGCCTCTGTCACCACTGGGATTATAGATGGGATTATAGGTGTGTTACACCACTCATGCATATCTTTTTAATCTTTTCTCCCTTTCTCTTTTGTTAGTACCATCCTTTTTCTTCCATCTTCATCACCGTTCTTCTTGTTCACATTATCACCATCTATTTCCAGTGATCTCCTCAATGAGTCACATAGGTCCAGTCCTATAGACAACAGGGCCTCTAAAAACACAAGTCTAACCATGTCCCATATGCCCTTAAACCCTTCCATGGTTCTCAATGTTTTCAAGATGAAATTTAAAATCCTTCTCACAGTCCCCACAGGCCTGGACAGCCTGGTGAGTCAACAATTCCAGCCCTTTCCCTCATTCTCTACACTCACATCTCATGCCCACCAGGCTTACTCCTGCCCCTGGGCCATCACCCTTGCTGATCCCTCTTCCTGATACATGTCTCTCTTCCTTTCTTGGTTGGTTAGCCCCTATTTGTCCTTCTAATTTTAGTTTGAGTAGAGAGTCCCCCTGGGAAGCCTTCCCTTACCTCTCTGACTAAGGCCCTCAGAAGATTCAAACAGATTCAATGTAGACATTTCATAGAAGCAATTCACACATCTTCATGAACTTCTTCATCATCATAAGCTCCACAAGGCGTTGAGCCCTCAGGGCAGAGCATGGTGCCTGACCAGAACTGTGGAAAGAATGAATGAATGAATGAATGAATGAATGAATGAATGAATGAAATGAGCACAAAGACTCTGCTCTGGCCCATCTGGATCACCTTCCCCACAGATGCTTTCTCATCTCCACACTTTTGCTCACTTGTATCCCTCCACCTATTCTGCACATCTAACCCACCCCAGCAGTCTCTCACAAGAAATCTTCACCAAATATCTGAGCCTACAATGGCTTCTACCTTCACCTCATTTCCTACCCCACCAAAATAATCTAAAAAGTCTAAACTTTTTCTTTCTTATTGTGAAAATAACACAGGCACATTGTAGACATTTTAGATAACACAAATAATGCAAACATCTATGAGAAAAAATAAGACATTTCAAAATGCAACTACCCAGAAATAATTGCTACATTTATTGTTGAATACGTTCTGCCCATTTTTCCATACATAATCATGGAAAAAAAGTTTTAACCTCACAAGAAATGAACGAGGTTCATTTTGTACTCCCCACTTTATGAGGAAAAAAAGGATAAGTTCAATAACTTGTGTAAAATCACAGGACTAGTAAAGAATAGAATCAAGATTATTATCCAAGCCTGCTTCCCCTGGCTCAGCCTCTCTTTGCTCTGTCTAGTTGGCCCACTCCTGCCTCCAGGTCCTTCTCCCTCTCCAACCCCCCTTACTCTGCTTGTATCACTGCTCTCTCTCCCTTTGAACCCAAAGCTGAAACTCCTTCTTAAACATTCACTTTAGCCCATCAATTTTACTTCAAGGATAGTCACTCTGGAATTCTTTTCAGTAGGAGAAAACTGGTAGCAACCTACATGCACATCAATACTGGTTTAGTGAGAGACCAGGACATCTTCACAACAGAACACTACACTTTAATGAGAAGAACGAGGGAGCTCCTCACAGATTTCTCTGAGATGATCTCCAGAATAGTTTTTTTTTAAATTTAAAAAGCCCAAGTCATAAAATAATATGTATAGTTTGCTATTCTCTATGAATATAGAATATTCCTATAAAGATATATATACACACATACACAAATGATACCAGTAGTTGCTTCTGGAAAAAAGAACATTTGGACTGAAAATGAAGGGTGAAAGGAGCCTTAATTTCATTCATATATAATGTTTATGTTTTGCCATATCCATTCATTAAAAAAAAAAAGAGAGAGAGAGAGGCTGGGGGGTAGCTCAGTGGCAGAGCACTTGCCCAGCATGTACAAAGCCCTAGGTTCATCCCCAGCACTGCCAACATAAAAGGTAAGTCTAGGGTGCTTTACCATTGATCTATATCTCCAGCCC